CCATCAGAGGAAGGCTCCCTGGGGGAGGACAACTGCACAACCCCGCAAAAACAACAAAAGTACAACAAGGGAAGTAGCTTCATATTAAAGATAAAAATATATAACAACAACAACAAGGATCTTATTTAGGAAGTCATGTGTTCCTCCTCTCCTGAGACTTTCTTAAAGCTGTGACTCTAAACCGGTTCATTAAAAAGGGTTATTTCTGAAGACACTTCACTTTTTTTTAACAGCCGGCAGAAACAACATGAAGCGGTTGAACTCCACAGAAACAAAGACATTTCCACTCGGGGGGTGATGGAAAGAAAAAGGTTGTGTAACCGGGAGAGCGATGGTTTGGCAGTTTAGATGAAGGCGTGTTTGGAACGTGAGGGCTGCAAAAGACAACACACACACAACACACAACCACAACACACAACAAACACACCAAACACAAACACAAACACACCAACACACACACACACACACACACGACACAAACACACACACACACACACCCACACACACACACACACATGCACACACACACACACACACACACACACACACAACACACACACACACACACACACACACACACACACACACACAACACACACACACAACACACACACACACACACACACACACACACACACACACCTTCTGTCGACACTCAGTGCCAGTGGTGTATTTTGCTTCTCCACAGATTGCAGTCAACCCCCTCCCCTCACCCAAAGAGAGCAGCCCTCCTCCCACGGGACTCCTGGTTGGCATGGATCGGCCCCCGAGATATCTCCACACACACACACACACACACACACACACACACACACACACTTTCACACACATTACAGGGGGGGGGATGCATGTGTAATGAAGAGGGTACGCAGAGATTTACAGTGAAAAGGGTGGACGGCTGCCACCTTTCCCCACCAGCCCCCCCCCTCTATAAATGTGCCATGTTTTGTTTTCCTTCTCCAAAAGCCTGAGCACAAGAAGAATTAGCGAGATGAGAAAGCGGCGGGCAGATCTCTCAGGGCGTCCATCTGTCCATTACTGAAATAAAAGCCCAACGCTTAGAGAGGGAGGAGCGCCGGGACGACGGATTGAGACGATAAGACGAGGATTTGACTCTGAGTAAAGTGAGTCATCCAGGGAATAGATGGATAGATGGATAGATAGATAGATGGATAGATAGATAGATAGGTATATAGATAGATAGATAGATGGATAGATAGATGGATAGATGGATATATAGATAGATAGATAGATAGATATTTCTCTAGGAAAAATGGTCACAAGGGAACCCAAAATCTTTCGTCACCAGACTCTATTGACAGAAACACTATTTTGACATCACTGATTGTCGTAAAACAAAGTCCATTCAAACTCGACAGGAACAAAATAGACAAAACTGTCTTCCTAACATTCACAGTTGGAGGAGCAACTGAATAAGAAGAAGATACAAACACAACCGGTTAATTAACCTTCTTTTGATGCCAGCTTGCATGTTAGTGACCAGAAAGCACCAGGACAAACTCAAATGCATACAGGGTGTTTAATCCCTGCATAAACCAACTCGTTGTGATGGAAGATGGCTCATTATGGACCCCAAATCTATTACCAATATGTATGAATACGTCACCTGATGACCAGTATGTTGAAGCTTTAACCAATAAAACCCACCCTGTACTTCCACTCTCTTTCAGCTCAACTAGTTCTCTGGTTCTCTGTATCCGTAGAAGCTGAGTCTCTGACGTGTTGGACACTCACACATCTCCCTCTCCCTCACACTCAAGTCTGTCTCACTGCCACAACCTTTCAGCAATCAAATTAGCCGCAGCCTCTCCGCCAGAATATGTGCCAGAGGAATCAGCCGTTGGGCTATAATTGCTACCAACTAATAATGTTAACCTTTCTATGGCATACGGCTGACTTTATTAGCAGAACAGGGCAGGTGGACGTCTGCATTCGTACACTCCTCTGTAATAAACCAGAAGACGTCCACCTTTGTTACCTGACCTTCTTAAACCACATGTCTGCAACAAAAGAGCATTATTAATAACACGCCTGGTAGAAGAGAAGGGGGGCATTCGGTGATTTCATTTTCAAGGACCACACTCATTTTTTGTGAGAGATTAAAAAGCGTTTTTCTGAATTTTTGTAGTCTGAAGGATTCTCAAATATCAACCTCGTGCCCTTTTCCAATCGACAAAGAAAACAGGTTTCCTCAACTGAAAATTGGTCTGTAATTTCTAAGCAAAAATGCGAAATATATGCGAGTTTGAAGGCTTCCAAGTTAACTTTGTAATCAAGAGTTTTAAGTTCGAACCTTTAAATGTCATTTTTCAAGCAAATATGTTCCCCGTAATGCATTAAGATGGTAACGAAGTGCTGCTTTTATTTGATTTTAAGATTGAATACTTCTTGGATATCAACCGTTAAATCAAGAGATTCAAGTTTTCCCCTTGTGCCCTTTTTAAATGAAGGGAAAAAAACGGTCTTGATTAATTGATTAGTCTTTAAGTTTTGTGTCAACAATGCAAAAAAGTCCCTCTGTAATTTCCTTTATTATGTATTTATATGATTTTCCGTTATAGAAATACTCAACACTCCTAAAGACAGCTCAAAATGAATACAGTACATGCAGCACTCTTGGATATTTCCACATTTCTAATGGACCACACGCAAGATTTTGAACGCTTCTCAATGTGCGCTGTTACATGGTCTTCTATACAGAAACAGACATATTCAAAACTCATAACGATAGCCCAAAAACACGTGCTTTTACACACTGGTTTTTCCACATTTCACATGCACTCTAAGCACTTTTGGAAGCACACTTTTGGGCAGAGTTTGAACGCTTCTCAGTGTGCTGCTTTTCATGGTCTTATACAGAAACAGAATTATTAAAAACGAATCAAAAACACATGCCTTTCACACACTGGGGGTTTCCACCTTTTCACATGCACTCAGAGCACATCCTTCTGCAGGTCAGAGGACATGGAACGTATCTCGAGATGTTTCAGTTTCTCACAGTTTCAGAGCCGATTAGTCCTCAAACAAATAAACATGTCAGACTTCAATCTGACCGCTGCTGCGCTCGGCCCTAAAACTCGTCATGCATAGCAAACCAATGAACGTCAACAACCACAAATGAAGACACACACACACACACACACACACACACACACACAGCAAGCTGCAACATCCAACTGTGCATTCATTATTGTGCTTTGTGGCATTGTTATCCCCTGTGGAATCAATGTGATATAGATTCAAGGTGCACAACAGTGAGATTACAGCATGTCATGGGTATCGTATCATTTCTCTTAAAAGGTAGCGGAGAGTACTTGGACAACTGAATTAAATAGATGCTTTTTTTTTCACTCCAGCTCTCCAACATGTGTTAAAAAGGGCAGGAAACATGATTCTGCTGCCTTCAAGCTCACACAAAATGACCCAGAAAGCATTGAAATAATTACTAATTGGAATATAAATGTAGGCAGAAAGGAGGCAGTGTTATTATTATTATTGATATGTGAAGTTTTAGATTAAAGCTCACTTTTGCTGAGTGAAAAACTCCTGTTGGGTTAAAATCACAATGTAAAATCCCACATGAAATGATGAAACTGATGCAGGAGCAGGAAAGCCTTTTGGTGCCTTTTGTTTACACAACTGATTGTGATTCCTGGCGGCTTTGTGCTGGAGGTCAGAGATTACCCAACCTTTTGATTTGACACTATATCCCTTATTACGGAGGGTTTTTGGTTACTAAAAAGCCCCACTAGCCTACTCGGATTCAGGGCCATGTGGGTTATTATTTATTATGCAGCGGTGGGATGGGTAAGTAGGTGACAGTTCAACGCGCAACATCTGGACTCAGAAGTGCATCCAAAAACAAGTGGAGCTGCAACACCCCGACGATCCATAGCGCAGATAAAAGGCAGATTAAGAGCCGAGGAAACCCGGAGAGGTTAAGAGATCAGAGAGGAAGAGTGGATCATAATCTGGCCATAATATCGGGATGGGTCGATGTAACCGGATTAAACTGAGCTAATGAAATACACCAGAAACTGAGGGGTAGGTGGAGACGGGGGGGGGACGGGGGGGGGGGACGGGGGGGGGGGGGGGGGGGGGGGGGGGGGTATGGGTGAGGAAATCCAAAATAAAACGAACTAATGAGGAAATCAGGGAGAGGTCAATAATGTTTCAACAAGACAAAGACACACGTCATGGCCGCTGCTTTGTAATTGTCCCTGCAGTGCCTACTGTCAGAAACATTACAAACATAATAATTCATAAATGTGTTTTTATTCTAAGTGCGCCGCGCAAACATCATAAACATAGTTCCCAGCAAACAGCAGCGGCTTGTCAACAAGTAAACCCCGGTTTAGAGGAAAAATAAAGACGCATGTCGACCCCCCGCCTATATACCTCCCCCCTAAAATACAAAATTATTTCCCCCAATGCAGCAATGCCGCGCTCCCAAAAGCCGATTTCCAGGGAAGTGGAAGGGGGGAGGAGGGGGGAGTCATGTTTGGAGATTGAGAGCGCGCGCCACCACCACCACCACCAAAAACTCAACCCAGCGGCGCGCACTCGGGCACGAGCCTGCCTATAGCGAAGGATCTGATTGGCTGAGGCGCAGCTTCCATCTGAACCACGTGACATGCCTTGCTTACAATAAATAAACAGCTATGGAATAATGTATAAAAATACTCCCGTGGCTCAAAAGCAAGCCCATAATGTGGATAAAACACAACTGAGCTGCCCCACAGGTGCCAGAGAGTGCACGTGAACACCTGTCAACAGGAAGAGTCCATCCCGAAAAACTTCAATCTTTTTTGGGATCCGTCCGGTGGGAGGCAACAGCCGCGCGTAACAAAAAATGACAGCTCCATGTACAGCATATAGGTTTTTTTCCAGTTGGACATTATACAGCCGCGTGAAAAACACCAACCTATAAACCCACAGTTACCACACAAACTCACACACACAATGCCAAGCGAGCTTACCTACACAGTGAATGAGTTTGTGCCTCCAAGAGTCAAGTTCCTGCCGAAAGCCGCGCCTCTCTACCGTGCATTGCTGCCTTTTGCACAGACTCGCCATTTTCTGTCGGCCCCTCCCGTGGGCGCGCACATACTGCTGGGTGCTTCCCTGCGCGCACGTCACCGGTGGTTTTTATTCTAGTGCTGCTGGGTGGAGTGAGATATGAAGGGGCTGCAGCATCCCCCTTTTCTATAGCGCTCATATATATGTCCCACCCACTAAAAAGCAGCCCCCTCCTTCACGCCTCCCAGCATCCCTGCGATGAGCTGTCATTGGTGCTTTTAATGGGATGTTCCCAGTGTTTTAATGTGGTGGAGAGGCCGGATTGGGGAGTAATGGATTACATGTATCCGGATATAAAAACAAGGTAACTGTATTGATTATAATTACATTTAAAAGTAATCAGATTACCTATTGGATTAGAGTATTGCAATACATTTTGAAATAAAGATCGATATGTTGTACTGAGTTAAATTTTCTTTATGGTTTTCATTTAGGCTACTTTAATTCTTCTTTAGTTTAAATACAATTTATTTTTCAAGCAGTAGGTGGACACTTGATGTATTTAACAACAATACAGTCTATGCTTTGGATTAAGCATAAACAGTATTTGTGAACTATTATTTATTTTATTTATTTTATTTATTTTATTTATTTTATTTATTTTATTTATTTTATTTATTTATTTATTTTAAATTAATTTAATTTATTTTATTTTATTTTATTTTATTTATTTATATCTGTTATAATTGTTTCATATTATTAACTTTTTTTTGTATTACATTGTTTGACATGTAACTAGTTATTGTAACAGATTACATTTTAAAGGAAACCCCCCGGTCCATACCCTGTGCAGCCATCCCCCTTTCACTCACATGTCCTACCCAGCAAAATCCCCCCCCCCCCTCCTCTCCTCCTCCCCTCCCCTCCCCTCCCCTCCCCCTCCCAGCCTCGCTGCGATGAGCTGTCATTGGTGGTTTTAATGGGATGTTGTGTGTTTAATGTTGAGTGTCTGTAGGGAACAGCACATGGCGCCTGGGCTCCAAATGTGCCATGGATTTAAGCTGTGGTGTCAAAGGGCGCGGGTTTAATGCGCATAAAGACACTGCATTGTTTAAATTAACAGATATGTTACAGTGGGCTGAAAACTGCAGCAGATTTGAGAGACTATACAAAGAGGCTTTGTTGCATTGGTTGGGATACTTTACAAATGTAATCTATTACTAACATTACATGTCACTTGTTAGATGCTTTTATCCAAAGTGACCTACTCAATACTGTGGGGTGAAGTGTCTCAGGGACACAACGACATGCTGACTGCAGTGGGGTTTGAACCTGTGCCCCCCTGGCACCAACACACAACCCACTGCGCCACACACCTCCCACCAACAACTAGTTACATGTCAAAAACTGTAATCAACATAATCTGAGTGTCAACATTTCAAAGTAACCTGATCACTTCTCGTTACTTTTGGAAAACTTCTAATGCAATGCAATTAAAAACTAAATAAAATAAGATGTTGTTTACTTGAGTGTATCAATGTCAAGATATTTCATATTAAAAATGTAGTAATAGTTTTCAAATGCTGTTTGAGCTTAATACACTTATCACAAGCATAGACTGTGTTTTGTTTAATTCAATTAAAAAAGAAATGTATTTAGAATAAAGAACAATCAAAGAAAGTGAATTATCCCTGTAATATAACACTCTTTATTCCAACTGTTATCCTAATCTCTATTGTTGTATCCTGATTAGGTAATGTTGTTACGTGTAATCCGTTACATACGCTATAGAGGCTTCTCAATACTCAAATTTCCCCTCCTCGAGACTTAGACCCGCCCACAGGAGATGCGAGCGGAGGACCCGAGGAGGGGAACCGAGGAGAGAGGAGGGGAAATTTGAGTATTGAGAAGCCTCTTATGTTCACATTTGGCTCCAGGCATCTTTAACTAGAACATGAAACGGTGCAATATATAATCAAACACTAGGAAATATTGACTATGTCCTTCTGCAGCCACTTCATTGCTTTACTTGTTCACCTTTTAAAATGCTGCTACCTTTTCATTCTTGCAATGTTGTGCTCACTTGTTCAAGGTTCTTTATTTGTCAAACGAACATACAGTGTAGTTATGTCGATGAACATCTTGTGTCAAAAGGCTTCTCCAACAGTGCAACATAATACAGATAAACAGAATGATTAGTGCAAGTAACAGTAATACAAAAAGAAAATTGTTTAAAAAAAAGTGAAATAGAGCAATAAGAGTATTCAAGTCATTGAAATATGATATATAAATAGATCATTTCTAAGTAGCAGCCAGATGAATATTGTGGATGTTGTTTCAGGTGTTTAACAGTCTTATGGCCTGTGGGATGAAACTGTCCCTGAGTCCGGTGGTTTTAGTATACTGCTATGTTCCCTCTGTGGGAGTAAGAAAGGATTTCTGATTATTAAAACTGCCTGAGTGTCAGGACCTCGACACAAACTGATGAACCCAAATGCACGACTCAGAGACAAAGTCTTGAATGTAATAACATGTATTTATTCATTCCAATGATCAGGAAATCCCTCTTAACAGAGCAGGTGGTGGAAACAACAAAAAGCGCTCACAAGGAGGAAAACACTAGTGTAACAAAAGGAGAACTTAAAGGTGGGGTATAAAGTTTGAGAAACCGGCTCGAGATACACTTGTTGTTATATTCCATGGAATGCTCTTAACATCCCGATAGCAATGAATATCTGAAGTACTTTGACAATAATCCATTAAAAAAAAATGTCATCTGTGGAAGCCGTGGCGCTGTAAAAAGCTCGACCAATCATCTGCGCCGGCCCGGCTAAAGTAACTGGATGGCCTACCTGCCTGTCAGCCTTCCATCTGTGCACAAACTTATCTCGTGCCCTCATTGGTCATGTGCGCGTTCGTGTGTGTTGGAGGAGGGGCTCTGTGAGAAAGTGGCAGATTTTTTCCGGTTGTGTATTTTCTAATTCTAGCGCACTCGAGCTGGTTTCTCCAAAATGACCTACCCCACCTTTAAGAGAAAACGTAAGCCTACCAAAATCAACAAAATAACAAAACCTGACGTGAGAGAAAGCAATTCTTTCTGAGCTGAGGCTTGGCACGACCATTCGGGGAAACAAACAAGACGAACTGACACAGGACAGGGGAGAGACAGGACTGTTTAAACATGAGGTGAGTGGGGACAGGTGGAAACAATCAGGGGCGGGGCAGACGCTGATGATGGCGGGAAAACACACGGGGGGAGGAAGAAAACAGGGCCTGAAATGAAAGACAAGAGGTAACATAAAACGACAAACAAAATACATGACTAACACATGTGACGAGACACAACACTGAATAGTATTTTAGGGAAATAAAAGAGCCTAAAGCATTAAACACTCACCTGTTCACCGTGGCCTTTGAACCCTAACCATCACAGTCCGCCTGCTGCCAATACAAGTGCTATTTATTTATTTTACTTTATTATTTGCCTTATTTGTTTGTTTGTTGTTTGCTCGTAACTTGTAAAGCAGCCTTGGGTCCCTTGAAAGGCGCTATATCAATTCATTATATTATTAATATTAAGCAATTTGACTGTAAACAATACAACTAAGACACACATCCCCATCATTAGCTCATAGTGAGTCTGTAATATGTCCCCACTAATGTTTGTGTGGACTGATATTCTCATTCAACCAATTAAAGGATTACTACAAGTTCATTGGTGGTTTCACATGGCTGGCACACACACAGGATTTGTAATACTTGACATTTTCAAAGCTTAATGTTGTGGATTTTAGAAATACTGATGAGTTGAGAGCCTCTGGTCGCCTTTCCGCATGTCTAACAACAGAAAAGAAATGCAATTATTGAAATGTAAGAAGGTAATGTCTTCTATTTTCTGTTCTACAAGTTTCTGAAATGTTATATTTAAATATGCAAATGAGTCATTTTCATATCAACTGTGTGCTCATTTGCATACAGCATATCTCCAGCAGGGAAATGTGAACATTGAAGGAAGCCGGGTTCAATTGTTTTGTTTTTATTTTGTTGACATGAAGGTGCTTTCAGAGGAGACTATGGATCAGAACACACTGACAATATCCAAAATAAATCATTATTAGCCATGTTTTTAGGAATGAATCGTGTCATAAATGAGGCTCTGAATTATATCTGAGCTAACCCCTTTGCAAAATGTCCAGAACATAGAGAGGAATGGAACTGGGAAGTGTTGTGAATGTAAGATTCCCTGAAGTTGAGATATCTGGTTCAGCATGTGAGAGAAATCTCATTTTGACAATGGCGACACTTTTACTGTAATATATTTTACGTTTTCTAAAATCGTTTGTTTAAATATGCAAATAAGGCTTATGTTAGCTTTTGGTGAATTTAGGAGAAATCTACAAATGAAAATGGACAAAGGGGCCGTGTGGTGGTGCAGTGGGTTATGTGTAGGTGTTCGGATCAGGGGAGCACAGGTTCAAACTTGCTCCTGTGGGGATTGTCCACAGTACTGAGTATGTACGTCGCTTTGGATAAAGCGTCTAACAAAGTAAACACCTAAAAACTAATTGCTGGTGCTTTCTTTCGAATAGTCTGACCAAAATCTCAGCATCGAGTATTATATAAGAAGTCGAAAATCAAACATATTTTTCTACCATAAGAATAATGTCTTGCAACTTTTACACGAGTTTAGATAATGATTACCGTACGCTGTGATTATCATATCCTGTGGTGCATTGTGGGAAACAACACTGATTGGATATAAATCAAGAGCAATGTTTCATGTAATGCATCTATTGGAATATACAGTGTTAGCCTATATAAACCAACTTATTAAACAAACAGCACGAGTAGTGATATATTTATACTTTACACATTTTAATTGCACCAAAAGGCGTTAAAATCCCTCCTAAATGTCTTGATTAAGAAGCGGCTGCAATTATTGATATATGTAAATCTGTTGAATCAGCACATTAACACAACGTAGCCCATGCTAATTAATAATCAGAATTAGTTATAGCCTTTTGCTTAATCCCTTCCCCTGAGGAACAGAGTCAGGGCGGGAGTTCTGTCTCATTTGGGTCACCTTGATTCTTCCTGTAGCTTTTTGCTGAATGAAACGCTCATTGGCTTTGAATCCATATCACCTCGTTTGACAAACCCTCAGCACCTCAGTGCAGATGTTTTAGCGGCATAGGCAGAAACATAAATCAAGTTCCATAAAACTCGCCAAAACGCGGTCTAATCAACCAAATTGAAGGCATGAAATGACAGAGTGTCGTTAAGAGGAAGCCCTTTATATAATCCTACAGAGACGGTGGGCAGCACATAAAAACAAGGCAAGGGCAAAACGCTTTAACAGAGGAGCACTCCGGCTAATTAAGTCGTTGAACCCGTTGCCCTCGACAAAGATGTCTCATACCGAGGGCTGGGCTTAATAGAAGGAAAGCAGCCAATAGGAGCGCGTCTTGAGTCGAAGTGGAACGTCGGCAGCCAATAGGAGCGTGTGTTGATTGAAGGTGAACGTCGACAGCCAATCAGAACGCTGCACCTTGCGAGCTCGCTGAGGCAGGAGGAAGTAGAAGCTGAACAGGAAAAACAGGCGAAATTGTCGCTGAGAGGAGCAGAAACCCTCCGCTGTTTTCAGTGATGTAGAGAAAACGGACGGAGTTGCTCTTAAATAAAACAGGTAAACCGTTTATTTTATCTCAGCTCGTTGTGTGAGTGTGTGTGTGTGTTTGGAGGCTGGCAGCGTCATGCCGGCAGGATGAAGGGATTACCGTTTACTGTGGCAACATTAGATGGGAGGGATACACACTCCTCCTCCCGGTTAATATGACAGCATGCCTGATGGCATTTGGGAAATGATGAGCCTAATGAAACGAGCTTCAGACGTGTCCTTCTCCCTCTGAAGCTTCATTCTCTGTGAAGCTGCTGTCAGATGGTCTGTCACCTCCTTCAGAGACAAAAGGAGAGGATTCCCTCAGAGAACCACTGTAAACACAGCTGGGTGACATGACAGAGGATTTCATATTTGAAGTGTCAAACGCCATAATATACAGAGACAGAAGATAAATAAGAAGTTAATATAAACACCTCTGTTGTGATGTCACCACTGCTAGATCACCAAAAGGGTACAAGTCACATGACCAAGGGGCACAATCAGGTGACCCACCTGTAGGTAAAGTATTATTGTATTATTACACGGCTTGGTTGAGTACTCCATCCTGATTGGTCAAATTGGACATTTCAGAGGTTGTTAATATTCAATATCACACCGTTGCTAAGCAAAATTAATGACCGTTGCTAGGATCAAGAGAGAGAATGAAAGAAGGTTAAAGACTGGACATCAGAAAAAGACTGGACATCAGAAAAATCAACAGAAGAAGCCAGACATTAAGTAACGAGGCGTACTGCCGTTGTACATTATCGCTTACTTAGTACACAGCTTCTGAAATCGGTTCTGTTGAATATTCGATTCTGATTGGTCAATTTGGATATTATGCGTTCTGTTATTTCTGTAGAGCAGAGTCATGTTACATCAATCAGCAGAAAGAAATACAATAACAACGTCAGCTGAGGTAAAGAAACACACACGTTTTCACTTCATCTAATTAAAACATTTATTTGTGGTGAGCACAAAACGTTGGAGTCACGATGGCTAAACTGTCCGGAGTCAAGAGAAGAGAAAGAAAACAAGAGAAGGAAAGAAGTTAAAAGACACAATTAGGGCAAATAAACCAACACATGAAGACAGACAGGGATTACACACTGAAGGAAACACCAGAAGAAGACTGAGGGTGTTTCTCAATGTCGAGGAAGGATGCTCCAGAGCCACTATTTCAAGCATACTACGTCATCGAGTGCCACCGAAGGACTTTTCCAATGTCCAGGCTCCTTGGAATTCTACAGAGGCCGACGTACTTCATAGCGAGACATTTCGAGGTTGCACATGTGTAGACTCTGCGGTCTTAAAATCCCCACAATGCATTGCGCACGGACCAATTTCCAAATCTTTGGCGGAAATCGTGCTCCATTGAAGGCGGGGCCTCGCATATGACGCACACCTGATGGCCTGTTCCACCATTCTTTGTTTTCCGAGGCGAGGAAGGATTCTTGCCTCGCTTCTGAAGGACCTGACTCGGAAGAGATGTCCTACCAAGGAAGCGTCCTCGACATTGAGAAACACCCAGGGATTACACACTGAAGGAAACAGCAGAAGAAGACAGACAGGAAGTAAATACCCGAAGACCTGTTCATCCCGTCAGGGCTCCATAGTATCCCTTAAACATGATATCCATAAGACATGCTACTGTAGACCTTCTACAATGTATGGCCAAAGGTTTGTGTTCAACACTTTCAGCTTATTATCAACACATGACGTGATCAACGTAATTTGTTTTCCTTTTAAAGATATTCTTTGGGTGAGAGAATCATCTTATCAAGTTAATCGATAAGCATTTTTTCAAAGTCAACTTTAATGTCAATCTTACTCAGTTTGTGTTTACGGACAGAGAGATCGAAATGACGTTTCCAACAATCCTGAATATATACGATATACAGATATGTATAACAATATGTATATCCTATATACACAATCAACGCATTTACACATATGCACACATTAAAGGTGGGGTAGGTCATTTTGGGGAAACCAGCTCGAGCGCGCTAGAATTAGAAAATACACAGCCGGAGAAAATCTGCCACTTCCTCACAGAGCCCCTCCCCCAACACACACGAACGAGCACATGACCAATGAGGGCACGAGGTAAGTTTGTGCCCAGATGGAAGGCTGACAGGCAGGTAGGCCATCCAGTTACTTTAGCCGGGCCGAATCAGATGACTGGTCGAGCTTTTTACAGCGCCACGGCTTCCACAGATGACAATTGTTTGTTGTCAAAGCATTTAATGTATTCATTGCTATCGGGATGTTAAGAGCATTCCATGGAATATAACAAGTGTTTCTGAAGTGAATTACCTGCCCCACCTATATACAACATAACAGTCACTTCAATATCAATATCTTTGGTGCAAGATTGTCCATAGAATGTCAATCGAGCTGTGGCCATTTTGAGCTGCTTAGTAAATGAAATGATTATGTATCGAGACTAGTATTGTTTAAATAACTAATGAAAGAACTAACCCTACAATCGGCTCAAACTCAATAGCGTGACATTAGTCGAAGAAATGGTGATATTTGGTCAGACATAATATTTGACACCGTACATGTCGCCCAGCCCTAGATAAAGGTGGACACACACAGTATGAGCTCTCAGCTGTGTGTGTTAGCATGTCCGGGTTTCAGGTGATGATCTGATCTGTTTCGTTCTGCAGGACCCATGACCCTGACACGAGGTTCCTTCAGCTACTCCAATGGCGAGGAGTACCACGGCGAATGGAAAGAAGGCAAGACTGAGCGTCTCTCTGTCACTCCTCCATCACCATCATCGTCATCATCACGGACACGTTTGCATGCAAGTGTTGTTACAGTGTGATTCAAACAACAATGCATGTATGACACAGCCCATGTAAATAACACACCTGCATTTGATTCATGTAAATAGGCTCTTCAGGGGACGTGAGGATAATCACAGTACAGAGTTCTTCATTTGCATACACATGTTTCATCTTAATGGGATGTCTCGATTCAAGTTAGTTAGTCTGAGAAAGTGCTCGGCTCACTGGATGGAAAGTGGAGAGGATGTCAGTACCTACATGTTCCCTATACCTATATATACTTAATATATTATTAAGATCATGAGGGAAAGACTCAATGAGACCAATGCTTCAGAACAAGTAGATCTATAAGGTTTTGAATAGATGTGAGCAAGTGAAAATATGATGTTGTATTTGGATCTCTTACATTTTCGACTTAATTGAGGCAGTTTTCTTAAAGTCATTACAATGGATTTCCTACCTCTTCCAATCCTCTCTTGCATTTGTGTTCTTCTACTGACTTCTGCACAGTCGAAAACCAACTTCCCTGTAGTGTGTCATATCGTTTTGTGTGCATGTAAATGGTCTGCAAAGGCTACAATCCCTGTCCCCCCCCCCCCCCTCTGCCCGAAACACCTCCATTGGACTCCTTTGTTTACTTCAGGAACATATACCTCGTTCACACCAACGGTGTTTCGGGGCCGGTTCGGAGCTGGAGCTTGAAAAGCACCGGGTTTTCCTGTTCACACCGCAGCGGAGCAGCCTCTTAGCTCCGGAATCCGGTTCGTTTCAAGCACCAAAAAATTGTCTGGCCAGAGCAAAAGCACCGCATACGTCACGCTTACTTCGAGGCAGGGGCAGGGGCGGGATCAACTCCTGAACAACAACAAGAAGCCCGCGTTTTATCCAGCTTGTACACAACGATGGAGAAACGTAACAAGCAGCAGTGGTCCACTGAAGAGACCAGCTACCTGCTGGGAATCTGGTCTTCCGAAGAGGTACAGAGGAAGCTGGAGCACAATCGGCCATTGTTGTTGTTGTTGTGTGAGCTGTGAGGGGTTTCCGCGCGGTTTGGCTTTATGAAGCAGGCACGCAAACGGTTACGTCATGACGCAAACGATGACGCAGCACCAGTTGGACTCTGGGCGGTGTGAAAAGAGCCGGAGCTAAACCGAAGAACCGGTTCTGAACCTGAAAAGCTCTAGCACGGAGCTTGAACCGGAGTTGCGTTGGTGTGAATGAGGTATTAGAGACAGCAACACTCGCTCCAACACATTGCTCGTGATAGGCCAGGGGGCGGGACAGGGAATATAGAAACAGGCAGAAAGGTGTAATATGAATATTTAGGGCGGTGGTGGCGAAGTCCATAGGGACTTGGCTTGGCAACTGGAAGGTCACCAGTTCAAGTACCGGAAAGACCAAGTGCTACCGAGGTGTCCCTGAGCAAGGCACCGTTCCCTACACTGCTCCCCGTGTGCCGTACATAATGGCAGCACACTGCTCCTAACACTATGATATGTAGGATGTATGAATATTCTGATCTGCATATACAATACATTATTATTAAAAGTAGTGTTTAGAACATAGAGATATTGAGGAGTCTTTTTCTTGGTAATGCACGTTGATTGTTGTGGATGTACTGATGTTAACTATGCCCAGCTTAACATCATTGTGATTAGCCCCATTGAAAAAACATATTTGGGCTTTCGTCCCAAACAATCTCACACTGATTCAACCTCGCTGGGAAGGGTCCGCTCAGCCACTCAGACAATTATAGAGAGGACAGTCGCTTTTTGAACATGAATAGCTGCAACTCCCATTCTGCAAACTAGTGTTGTCACGATAGCAACATCTTTGTTTTGATACCGATAGCAAGTAAAGTCAAGAATTGCGATTTTTTTTGTTTCCTCAAAAGGGGAAACCATCTTGAATGTCATTATTGTGCTTTATTTCAAACCTGGAAAAATGTTTCAGTCATAACACAAACCTTTGAACAATGAGAACAATAAATCAAATAAACTAAAGCAATGGCATTCAAGTGTTATGATATTAGGGTCATGCCGAGTCAGATCGCTGTCCCTTTTACACAGGAAATACGGCCCCATGTCATGCCTTTCTGGTTATGACCCGTCCCCTTGTGTGTTATGAAGGTTTTTCTGCATGTAAACGGTCTGCAGAGTCACAAAACCTCAAAGTACACCCTGTAGCGAGTAAAACTCTAACACAGGAAAGACCTGTCTGTGCTGCCCCAGAACGCCTCGTGAATACACATACAGAGATGCTGTATGAGAAACCAATGTGAGTTTGGAACATTGCACAGTATAAATATATTCTAGTAGACCTCAACAATGGAATTATGATCAGTAGAAATGGCCGTGACATGGGACCTTTGAAAACAATGTCATTCTTAAAGTACCGACACTAATGAAATGGAGGAATCGTAACGTTTTTAACGGCAGGGTATCGCGATACATTTCTAGTATTTGGTGCACCGTGCCACACTACTGCAACTCAGATCAGCACCATGGACAGCAACAACACCTCCAAAATGTATGAAAGTTAATACAACAGCCTGCACTAGATGCAAACATAGCTTTGTGTGACTGTCAACAAATCTCCACAGGGATTCAAGAGAACAACATGTCTATGCATAGAGACTGGGAATGCACATTACTGAGGATGTTATTAATAATAGGACTAGTTAAAATAAAACGTTAACTGCTTTCAGTCTGAATCCACACCTCAGATCCTTATCGGGGGAAATGGTTAAATCAAGAAAATATAAAAAACTATTTTGCTAAAAGAAAGGGTTAGAAAAAAAAGGACTTTCAGTAGTTTGCTTTTTAATGATCCTGCACTTACACTAATTAATAGCAATTTAAGCAATACACTGAAAATAAAAGGTGTCAAACTGAAGACAGTAACTAGAGGAACATGTACAAACACACACACACACACACACACACATACACACATAGAGCCCATCTGGTGCCAGTGAGCCCTCTGAGGATTTCACACTACCTAAACCAGTATGTGCAGTTGAACAGAAACACTGAGACAACCTTTAGGGCAAGGTTAATCAAAGAACAAAAGTTTGGCACCGCAGCGAGCGAGAGGCCAGCGGGGGGACATATGGTCTCTGCACGCCTAGTAGAAAACTGTTTAAACTGGTTTGGCTGCTGATAATATGCTCAGGTTTAAGAGCACAGCAGTGTTTATTTCTTTCCCCAGTAATAGATCTGTGTGGGGGTTTGGAACGGCAAGGATTTCTTTTTGGTGTTTTGGCACTTTTTCAAATTGAAGAAAAAAGATCTTGTTCCACATATTCAACAACAATCAATCACTTTATTCATCGCCTTTTGGGGGTTTGCCCTTAGTTTTGTGCATGTCTGCAAAAGCTGTTTCTAACCCGCACTCTCCCCCCCTGCCTGAAACTCCTCCATTGGCCTCCTTTGTTTACTTCTTAAACACAATGACATCACTATGTAACACTTCACGTTGCTATTGGCTAGCGCTCCAACATATGTTTATGTGATAGGCTAAAGGGCGGGACATCTCTAAGCTGTTGACCAATCACAACAGAGACAGCCAGCTAACCATTCAGAGCAGACTGGGCTCTGGTTGTAACATTAAAGCATGGAGACATGTCCCTGTAGAGAGACTACGATATACACCTGAACATCAGCAGGAGAGGACTCTTTAAAGTAGAGACACTACATACTGATATACACCTGAACATCAGCAGGAGGAGAGGACTCTTTAAAGTAGAGACACTACATACTGATATACACCTGAACATCAGCAGGAGAGGACTCTTTAAAGTAGAGACACTACATACTGATATACACCTGAACATCAGCAGGAGAGGACTCTTTAAAGTAGAGACACATACTGATATACACCTGAACATCAGCAGGAGAGGACTCTTTAAAGTAGAGACACTACATACTGATATACACCTGAACATCAGCAGGAGAGGACTCTTTAAAGTAGAGACACATACTGATATACACCTGAACATCAGCAGGAGAGGACTCTTTAAAGTAGAGACACTACATACTGATATACACCTGAACATCAGCAGGAGAGGACTCTTTAAAGTAGAGACACTACATACTGATATACACCTGACATCAGCAGGAGAGGACTCTTTAAAGTAGAGACTACATACTGATATACACCTGACATCAGCAGGAGAGGACTCTTTAAAGTAGAGACACTACATACTGATATACACCTGAACATCAGCAAGGAGAGGACTCTTTAAAGTACAGACACTACATACTGATATACACCTGAACATCAGCAGGAGGACTCTTTAAAGTAGAGACACTACATACTGATATACACCTGAACATCAGCAGGAGAGGACTCTTTAAAGTAGAGACACATACTGATATACACCTGAACATCAGCAGGAGAGGACTCTTTAAAGTAGAGACACTACATACTGATATACACCTGAACATCAGCAGGAGAGGACTCTTTAAAGTAGAGACACTTACTGATATACACCTGAACATCAGCAGGAGAGGACTCTTTAAAGTAGAGACACTACATACTGATCTACACCTGAACATCAGCAGGAGAGGACTCTTTAAAGTAGAGACACTTACTGATATACACCTGAACATCAGCAGGAGAGGACTCTTTAAAGTAGAGACACTACATACTGATATACACCTGAACATCAGCAGGAGAGGACTCTTTAAAGTAGAGACACTACATACTGATATACACCTGAACATCAGCAGGAGAGGACTCTTTAAAGTAGAGACACTACATACTGATATACACCTGAACATCAGCAGGAGAGGACTCTTTAAAGTAGAGACATACATACTGATATACACCTGAACATCAGCAGGAGAGGACTCTTTAAAGTAGAGACACTACATACTGATATACACCTGAACATCAGCAGGAGAGGACTCTTTAAAGTAGAGACACTACATACTGATATACACCTG